ACCAGTCGTGCAGCTGCTGGGAGGTGAGAGGCACACGCGGACGAAGGCGGCCACTCCAAGGGGACCGCGCACCAGCAGGCTCATTACCCTCAGACCCAGCACCCCCAGGCTCAGCACCCCCAGACTCAGCACCCCCAGACTCCTCACACGCAGGCTCCGCACCTCCAGGCTCCGCACCTTTAGGCTCCGCACCTCCAGTCTCCGCACCTCCAGACTCCTCACAAGCAGGCACAACACCCCCAGGCTCCGCACCTCCAGGCTCCTCACGCGCAGGCTCAGCACTCCCAGACGCAGCACCTCCAGGCTCCTCACGTCCAAGCTCAGCACCCCCAGGCCCCGCACCCTCAGTCTCCTCACGCGTAGGCTCCGCACCCCCAGGCTCAGCACCCCCAAGCTCCCCACCCCCAGGCCCAGTACCCCCAACGACAGCACCACCTCCAGCAGGACCGGAGTCACCAGTGACCTCAACAGGCGCAGGTACGGGAGGGTCTACCTGAGAAACACCTGAGGGAGCAGGACCTGGCGCGGGGAGGGGGTCTACCTGGGGAGGACCTGGAGCGAGGAAGAGCGGCGGGGGGGTGCGAGGAGAAGTACGGTAGGGAAAGAGACGGTAGAAGGGAACGGACTCGTCAAAGGTGACGTCCTGAGATGCAAAGACACGGCGCGAGGTGGGCTCGTAGAACTGCCAGCCAGGCGCGTCAGGAACAAAGCCAAGGAGAACATAGGGAATGGCGCGAGCGGAGAGCTTGTCCACAGTAGTATCGCAGACAAACGCACGAGCACCCCAAACCCGGAAACGCGACGCATCGCCAACCTTCCCCGTCCACAGCAGTGTGGGCGAGGTCTCCGGCAAGGAGACACGGGGCCAGAGGTTGAGCTGATGCGCAGCGTACCGGACCGCAAACGGCCACAGAAAATGGGGGGCAGCCGCATGGATCATGGAGGTACGAGCGACCTCCATGACTAAGCCAATGCGGCGCTCAGCAACCCCATTCTGCTGCGGAGAGGCCGGAAGCGTGAACGTCTGGCGGATGCCGTGCTCCTCACAGAAGGCTCGCAAGAGGTCGGAGGAGAACTCACCACCTCTGTCAGAGTGCAGACGCAAGACAGGAAAGTCCGACTGGAACCGCTCGCGGAGCTGGAGACGAGCAGCGCGGATCCAGGGGATCAAAACAGCAGGGACGTCCCCCTTGCTGCGCAAGGGGAAGACCGTGGTGTAGCGCGTGTAGTCGTCGACTACCAGCAGGAAGTACCGCTCGCGGCCCTGCCCCTGGACGCGGGCCGGGCCCCACACGTCCAGGTGGAGAGTCTGCAGTGGAGCCTCTGTGGGAGGGAACGAGGAGGAGTGAGGAGCGGCGCGCTGCCGCCCCTCGACGCAAGGAATGCAGGGAGGCGCAGGCGAGGGAGGGAGGGCAGGGAGAGACCTGGGAAGACCAGAGACCAGACAGCGAGAGTGCATGCTACGAAGACGAGGCAGGGAGGGGTGACCAAGGCGGTGGTGCCAAAGGAGAGTGTCGTGGGACAGGCGGCGGCACTCACACTGGGTGGCAACCTGAGCAGACGCGTACAGCTGTGGAGACAAAGGCGTGTAGCATGAAACAGCGGTGAGGGTGTACAGACTGGACCCAGGCTCACGTGTGAACGTGGCCAGGTGGCGGCCGGTCTTGGAGCATGTACAGATCGCCACACGCTGTCCTCCAGGAGTCCAGGTGTCAACCCAGTGATCCTGAAGGACGGCGTTGCTCACCAGGTTCGTAGAGAACGAGGGAACATGGAGACCAGACAGCTCACCAGACGGGACCGCTTTGCACGGAAGCACAGTCGTGGCCCGTGCAAGCACTGGACCCCCAGAGGGGTCAGCCAGTGAGACAGGAACAGGTGCAGGGAGAGGGGTGACAGTGGTGCTGTCGCGAAAGAAACAGCGCGAAGCACCAGAGTCAAGTGTGAACGTGTGCAAAGCCTGAGCGGACGCAGTACCAGGGAGAGCAGACTCACTAGCACCTAGGGCTGCAGTCTCTATACCTGGGTCAGGCGGCACACACAAGTAACAGTCACCCTCAGCACTAACAGTCAATGCATACATAGCAGCAAGAATAGCATCATAGTCTAGATCAAAGATAGGAACACCACGCCTAAGCATATCTGCTCAGTTGGGGAACTCAGTAGCATCAGGATACTTTGCGCGCCAGGCGTCACTAAGCCTAGCGAAGCAGCGGAACTCAGTGTGAAAACCGTCGCAGGTGCGACCCTGGCGGGGACCTGTGCGAATGACATAGGGGCAGCGGTCAGAGCCCTTAGACGCCCCACGCCCAGCATACCAGTCATTGAGCTGCTGGGAGGTGAGAGGCGGACGCTGCTGCTGCTGCTGTGGCTGTTGCTGCTGCTGCTGTTGGCCGCCACTTGTGCCACTCTGCTGGCCAGATCCACCTCCACCCCCACCTCCACCACCAGTGCCGCTGCCTCCTCCTCCACCACCTCCGCTGCCGCCTCCACCGCCCCCGGTCCTGCCGCCACCCCACCCACCGCCTCCACCCCCACGGCCACCCCCACCACCTCCACCACCCCCGCCGCCTCCACCACCGCCCCCTCCACCGCCACCTCCGCCACTTCTGCCCCCCTTGCCGCCCTTGCCTCCGCCGCGCTTCCCACCAAGAGCAGAAGCGGCGTTGACCTTCTAAGCACCGAGAAGGTCAACTGCAGTAGCAGCAGAGGCATAGGAGGGGGAAAGAGGGGAGGGGGAGCATCCCTCAAAGAGGGGAGTGCGGGGAGTGCCACGAGCAGCATTCACAGCAAGAATGTTCTTCTCAGCTGCAACTAGCTGCTGCTCGAAGTCATCTAGGGTGATGGTGGGAGGGTCTTTGGCGAGGAAGTAGTCCCTAACGGAACGGAGCGTGTCGGGGAGGCAGGTGACTAGGATGTAGAGGGTAAAATACAGGGGGGGTTTGTTTTCGGCGAGGAACTCTTCAGTGAGAGCGGCACGAAAGCGAGCGTCACTAGCGCGGAGGTGAGAGATGAGGTCTGCAGCAGTGTGAAACGAGGCGAGGTCGGGGAAAAGGTAGGGTAGGATGAGGCTGCCAACGGCGGCAGTGGCTGGGGCGGAATAGCGGGCAACTACTGCGTCAAACAGTTCCTTAGCAGTCTTAAGCTGGTTGAAGTGTGCGCGCTCGGAGATAGGCAGGTGGTTGCGAATAGCTAGGCGGGCAAGGGCATCGCGGGTCTGCCATTCAGCGCGATCAGAGGCAGGAGCAGTAGCAGCGGGAGCAGGGGCAGTGCCATTGACATAGTCTAGCAGAGAGGCTCCGTCCTTGGTATTAGTCAAAAGGTAGAGCTGCAGGTCACTGAGCCAGGTGTCAAACTGAACAGGACTGCCGTCAGGCTCAAAGGCGAGAACAGTAATACTCGCCATGGTCATTGGGCGGGGAAATGCAGCAGGCACAGTCTAAGGCTCAGGCTCAGGCGCAGGAGGCAGGCAGGCTCAGGCAGGGCAGGGCGGGTGGCGCACAAGCGGGGCGAGCGTGGCGGCTGCTCGTACGCGGCGGTTGGGTGTGTCAGAATCACTAGGCAAGAATGATTGGATTGAAAGAAGCAAGGGTACAAATAGGAAACCCTAGTTTGGGTTGTACCCCATATTGGCTACCCCACTACAGCCTACCAACATATAACACATTACAATTTAACACACCCCCATAGGCAAAGTGGGGGAGAACAAAGGGTCACAAGACCAGTCCAGCAAAGCAACGCAAGCCCAGGGTGGATCACAACGTCACCACACTCCGAGCACAAGCAAAGGCCACAAGGCCAGTTCACATGCAGTGCTAGATATAGTACAAGACAAGCAACACAGTGATCAAAACCTAGCAAGCAAGCAACAAGATATATATAAAGTACAGTACAAAGAATGTCAAGCAGTAAGCAAGTGAGGAAACGTGGACACAAGGCCTAAAGAAGTACAGTGCCGCTGATGATCACTAGGCGGGAGCGCCTTGGTGAAGATATCAGCAGTGTTGGCCTTCGAGTCCACGTACACAAGCCGAAGCTGACCGCGCTGCTGAAGCTCTCGAGCAAGAAAGTAACGAAGAGCAATGTGCTTCGTCCTGTGCTCCAGTCTGTGCTCCTGACACAAGGCAAGAGCCGCCTTGTTGTCACCGTACAGAACTGGAGGAGAACTAGGCCGCTCTCCCAAGTCAGTCAGCAGGTAGGTGAGCCAGCGTAACTCCTGTGCAGCCATGGCTGTGGCGTAGATCTCAGCCTCACAACTAGAGCCGAGAACAGAGGAAGAGCGGGTGGACCGCCACGAGACAGAACCAGAGCCAAGGCTGAAGGTGTAACCCTGTGACGACCGCTGCGTAGCCAGGTCGTCCACCCAAGAAGCGTCCGAGTGACCAGTGAGGACAACTCTGTCGCGTCCTCCAAGCACCAGCCCCATGCCTGATGTACTGCACAAGTAACGCAGCACCCTCTTAGCAGCCTCCCAGTGCTCTCGCCTGTGTCTCCCAGGCGCAACGTAACGAGCAAGGATGCTAAGAGGGTACGCGAGGTCAGGTCGCGTGCAAGTCATCAGGTACATGAGGCAGCCTACAAGCTCTGGGTACGGGCCACTCGGCTCTACGGACTCGTCCGAAGGTGGAGCTGAGAGCGAGTGGCTGGTAGCCAGAGGTGTGGCCTGTGGTGAGGAGAACTGGAAACCGAAGCGCTGAAGGACCTGCTGCACCATGTGTGACTGAGTCAGGGTGATGGTGCGGCGAGCTCTGTCCCGGGTGATCTGCAAGCCAAGGTAGCTACGCAGTTCACCCAGGTCAGTGCAGGTGTGTCTCTTCTGCAGCTCCGACTTCACACGAGCGAGTGCCTCAGTGTCAGCAGTAGCAAAGACCAAGTCGTCGACGTACACGAGAATGTAGAACGGCGGCAGCGACGTGTCTGTGCGCAGAAACAGCGACGGGTCAGCAGTAGACGGCGCGAACCCAAGAGCCGCAAGTGTAGTCCTCAGTGTGTCGTGCCACTCACGTGGCGCCTGGCGGGTCCGCAGCACCAGCAGCAGCGCCACCCCCAGGGTCCGCAGCACCGCTAGGAAGAGCACCCCCAGAGTCGGCAGCTCCAACTCCGCTAGCACCGCCAGCGCCAGAGTCCCCAGCTCCAGCAGCTCCAGTCGTAGTGCTCCCAGAACAACCAGTCCCGGCAGCTCCAGTACCCCCAGTACGAGCACCCCCAGGACGAGCAGCTCCAGCACCCCCAACTCCAGCCGAGCCACGAGGACGGCGAAAGCGCCGGACGTACCAGTCACGAAGCTGCTGCGGTGTGAGAGACTGCTCAGCACCCCGAACCGGAGCACCCCCAGACGCAGCAACCCGAGGCTCCGTAGGCTCAGTAGCAGTACCCCCAGGCTCAGTACCCGCAGGCTCAGCACCCCCAGACTCCGTACACGGAGGCTCAGCACCCCCAGTCGCAGCACCCCCAGGCTCAGCACCCCCAGGCGGCAAACTCTCAGGCACAGTACCCTCAGCCCCAGCACCCGCAGTCCCAGCACTCCCAGGCCCAGCACCCGCAGGCTCAGCACTCCCAGCAGCACCACCCGCAGCAGCACCTGAGTCACCTGTGACCTCGACAGGCTCAGCGACGGGAGGAGGGTCTACCTGAGAGACACCTGAAGGAGCAGGACCCTGAGGGGGGAGGGGGTCTACCGGAGGGGGACCAGGAGCAAGGAACAGCGGCGGGGGAGGGAGGGGGGCAGTGCGGTAGGGGAAGAGACGGTAAAAAGGGACCGACTCGTCAAAGGTGACATCCTGAGAGGCGAAGACCCGGCGCGAGGTGGGGTGGTAAAACTGCCAGCCAGGCGCGTCAGGGACAAAGCCAAGGAAGACACAGGGAAGCGTGCGGGAGGAGAGCTTGTCCGCGGACGTATCGCGGACAAGGGCACGAGCACCCCACACCCGGAAGCGCGACGCATCGCCAACCTCCCCCGTCCAACGCAGTGTGGGCGAGGTCTCCGGCAAGGAGACACGGGGCCAGAGGTTGAGCTGATGCGCCGCGTACCGGACAGCAAACGGCCACAGAAAATGGGGAGCCGCCGCGTGGACCAAGGAGGTACGAGCGACCTCCATGACCAGGCCAATGCGGCGCTCAGCAACCCCATTCTGCTGTGGGGAGTCCGGAAGCGTGAAGGTCTGCTCGATGCCCTCCGCCTGACAGAAGGTCCTCAAGAGGTCGGAGGTAAACTCACCACCTCTGTCAGAGTGCAGACGCAGGACAGGAAGATCCGTCCGGAAACGGCGGCGGAGCTGGAGACGAACTGTGCGGATCCAAGGGATCAGAACAGCAGGGACCTCACCCTTGGTGCGCAAGGGGAAGACCGTGGTGTAACGCGAGTAGTCGTCAACAACCAGCAAAAAGTACCGCTCACCGCCCTGACCACGAACGCGGGCTGGGCCCCACACGTCCAGGTGGAGGGTCTGCAGAGGAGCCTCTGTCGGGGGGAACGAGGAGGAGTGAGGAGCGGCGCGCTGCCGCCCCTCGACGCAAGGAAGGCAAGGCGGCGCAGGCGAGGCAGGGAGGGGAGGGAGGGACCTGGGAAGACCAGACACAAGGTGGCGACGGTGCATGCCACGAAGGCGTGGCAAGGAGGGGTGACCCAGGCGGTGGTGCCAGAGAAGAGTCTGGTGCGACAGGGAACGACACTCACAGGCGTGGGCCACCAGACCAGACGCAGACACCTGACCGACAGCAGCGACCTGAGGAGACGCAGTGGTCAGTGTGTAGAGACTCGACCCCGGCCGACGGGTAAACGTAGCCAGGTGACGGCCGGTCCTGGAGCACGTGCAGATCGCCACACGCTGTCCTCCAGGGGTAAAGGTGTCAACCCACTGATCCTGGATGACAGCGTTGCTCACCAGGTTCGTCGAGAACGAGGGGAGGTGGAAACCCGACAACGAGCCAGACGGAACCGCCGGACAAGGGAGTACAGTGGTGGACTGGGCAAGGACTGGGCCCCCAGAGGGGTCAGCCAAGGAGACTGGGACCGGTGCAGGAAGCGGTGTGAGCTCAGTACTGTCACGAAAGAAACAACGGGAAGCACCTGAGTCAAGGGTGAAGGTGTGACAGGCCTCAGCCAGTGCGGTACCTGAGAGAGCAGTCTCTGTGGGTGCTGTACCTGAGAGAGCAGACTCGCAAACAGCCGGGACAGTACTGGAGGGAGCAAGTACAGGGGGCACCATACCAGAGAGAGCAGACTCACTAGTACCCAGGGCAGCGGGCTCTATACCTGGATCAGGCGGCACACACAAGTAACAGTCTCCCTCGGCACTAACAGTCAATGCATACATGGCAGCAATAATAGCATCATAGTCAAGAGCAAAGACATCAACACCAGCCCTCATGAGCTCAGCCCAGCGGGGGCGCTCAACATCCTCACCCATCTCCTCACGCCAAGCGTCGTCAAGGCGGGAGAAGCAGCGGTACGGGGTGTGGAACCTCCCACACGTCTGTCCCTTGCGGTCACCTGTGCGAATGACATAGGAACAGCGGCCACTGCCCCCCGACGTCCCACGCTGAGCAAGCCACTCACGAAGCTGCTGGGTCGTCTGGGGACGCTGCTGCTCGGCTGGAGCTCTGGCCCGAGCAGTGCCTCCACTTCGACCTCCGCCACACCACTACCCCCCGCCACCGCCACCGCCGCCACCGCCGCCACCGCCGCCACCGCCGCCGCCGCCACCACCGCCACCGCTCCCTCCGCCGCCCCCGCCTCCGCTGCCGACCCCACTCCCACCAGACACTCCCGCCACCGCTCCCTCCACAACCGCTCCCTCCCCCGCTCCCCCCCCACCTCCCCACCTCCGCCCCCCCCAGCGCCACAGCCACCACCCTTGCCCCCCTTGCCCTTGCCGGTGCGGCGCCTCCCACCAGGAGCAGAAGCAGACTCAGCACCAAGGAAGTCAACAGCAGCAGCAGTAGCATAGGAGGGAGCGAGGGGAGAGGGAGAACACCCCTCAAAGATGGGGGTGCGAGGAGCGCCACGAGCAGCACCGACAGCTACAATGCTCTTTTCGGCCGCGAGCAGCTGCTCCTCTAGGAGGGGGACTGTGAGCTCAGTGGGACAGCGAGCAAGGAAGTGGTCTCGAACTGAGCTGAGGGTGTCAGGGAGACGGGTGACTATGAAGTGGAGTGTCCAGTACAGTGGAGGGGGGTTCTTAGTGTCAGAATAACTAGGCAAGAATGAATGAACTAGGAGAAGTTTGGGTACAAATAACAAACCCTAGTTGGGGTTGTACCCCATATTGGCTACCCCACTACAGCCTACAAGCATAATACAGTTTGACACACCCCATAGGCAAAGTGGGGGAGAACAAAGGGTCACAAGACCAGTCCAGCAAAGCAAAGCAAAGCCCAGGGTGGATCACAACGTCACCACACTCCGAGCACAAGTAAAGGCCACAAGGCCAGTTCACATGCAGTGCTAGATATAGTACAAGACAAGCAACACAGTGATCAAAACCTAGCAAGCAAGCAACAAGATATATATAAAGTACAGTACAAAGAATGTCAAGCAGTGAGCAAGTGAGGAAACGTGGATACAAGGCCTAAAGAAGTACAGTGCCGCTGATGATCACTAGGCGGGAGCGCCTTGGTGAAGATATCAGCAGTGTTGGCCTTCGAGTCCACGTACACAAGCCGAAGCTGACCGCGCTGCTGAAGCTCTCGAGCAAGAAAGTAGCGAAGAGCAATGTGCTTCGTCCTGTGCTCCAGTCTGTGCTCCTGACACAAGGCAAGGGCCGCCTTGTTGTCACCGTACAGAACTGGCGGAGAACTAGGCCGCTCTCCCAAGTCAGTCAGCAGGTAGGTGAGCCAGCGTAACTCCTGTGCAGCCATGGCTGTGGCGTAGATCTCAGCCTCACAACTAGAGCCGAGAACAGAGGAAGAGCGGGTGGACCGCCACGAGACAGAACCAGAGCCAAGGCTGAAGGTGTAACCCTGTGACGACCGCTGCGTAGCCAGGTCGTCCACCCAAGAGGCGTCCGAGTGACCAGTGAGGACAACTCTGTCGCGTCCTCCAAGCACCAGCCCCATGCCTGATGTACTGCACAAGTAACGCAGCACCCTCTTAGCAGCCTCCCAGTGCTCTCGCCTGTGTCTCCCAGGCGCAACGTAACGAGCAAGGATGCTAAGAGGGTACGCAAGGTCAGGTCGCGTGCAAGTCATCAGGTACATGAGGCAGCCTACAAGCTCTGGGTACGGGCCACTCGGCTCTACGGACTCGTCCGAAGGTGGAGCTGAGAGTGAGTGGCTGGTAGCCAGAGGTGTGGCCTGTGGTGAGGAGAACTGGAAGCCGAAGCGCTGAAGGACCTGCTGCACCATGTGTGACTGAGTCAGGGTGATGGTGCGACGGGCTCTGTCCCGGGTGATCTGCAAGCCAAGGTAGCTACGCAGTTCACCCAGGTCAGTGCAGGTGTGTCTCTTCTGCAGCTCCGACTTCACACGAGCGAGTGCCTCAGTGTCAGCAGTAGCAAAGACCAAGTCGTCGACGTACACGAGGATGTAGAACGGCGGCAGCGACGTGTCAGTGCGCAGAAACAGCGACGGGTCAGCAGTAGACGGCGCGAACCCAAGAGCCGCAAGAGTAGTCCTCAGTGTGTCGTGCCACTCACGTGGCGCCTGGCGGAGACCGTAGACTGGCCGGCGGAGACTCCACTGGGTACCAAGGGGAAACGACCCAGTAAAGCCAGGTGGGCGGCGCAGCCAGATCTCCTCGTGCAGGCTGCCCTGCAGGAACGCTGTGCTGAAGTCAAGAGAGTGAAGCTCGTAGTCACGCTGAGCAGCAACGTGCAGCAAAACCCGAAGAGTGGTCATCTTCGGGGTGGGGGAGAAGGTCTGGAAGAAGTCGACCCCCTGACGCTGACTGAAGCCTCGAGCCACGTAACGAGCCTTGAAGACAGGCGGAGAAACCGGCGGCCGCTTCACCCTGAAAATCCACATGCCATCGACGATGTTCGCCCCAGGAGGGGGAACCTCGTCGACGTAGGTGCCTGTGGACTTCCAGGATGCCATCTCTGCGTCCATGGCTGTCTGCCACTGAGAGGAGTAGGGACCCGAGATCGCCTCTGCGTAAGTGCGCGGAGTGGGGATGTCTAGTGCATCCGGGTCTCCCTCAGGGGCAAGCAACCAGGCCACGAGATGAGGTACAGCAGCCGCAAGAGAGTCAAAGTCCTCCTGCCTGTCCTCAAGGACGTCCGTGCCAAGAGCACACTCACCCCCGACGGACGGAGGACAGACAGACGCAGACTCTGACTCAGCGACAAGGCTAGCAGCGTAGTCTAGACGACAGGCAGCAGCAAAGTCACCAATCAGCGACCAGAGCAGACGCAGCCGAGGACTCAAAGGTAGGGTCAGTGACAACAGTAGCAAGGAGACGCGTGACTGTAGGGTGCTCAGCGCGATACCGGTCAGACTCAGGGTCCGGAACGGCAGGCAAAGAGGACGCAGGAGGAGACGGTAGAGGGACACGTCGAGGAGCAGTAGAGGGACGCAGAGTCATGTAGTGAGTGCCTGGGACAGGAGGAGGACGCTCACGACGGACACGACTACCAGTGCGAGCAGGACGAACAGGCGACGCAGGACGAGACTCAGGCTCACGACGCTCTGTAAGACCTCCTGTGGGACCAGTATAAGGAGAGGGAGCAGGGAGAGGCGAGGCAGGCGGTAACTGGTGACT